TCTCCCGGCGCGGCAGTGGAAACAACGACGCAAAGTTTATTTATCCTTCCGACCTCTGTCCACCCCGCAGTGTAAATGGATTCACCACAGTTGGCCCGATATTTAGGTCCTCTCTGCGGGTGTGTGGCACGGTGGGGAGCACAGGCCAGTCTTCTCAGTTTAACCCATGGCACCTGTGGGTCCGTCCCGTGATCTCCTGCCAAGCAAGCCTTTGACAGTTCACGTCTCAAGCACCGTGGTGACATCACCGCCGCTTAGTGGGGGGGAGTGGGGGGGGGATACTACTGCCACCTCTTCCAAAAACGTCTTCTTGCCAGTGTGGTGGAGTCCTTCAAAATGCCCGCTGGAGCGGCTCGCTTATAACTCCCTCCGGCGGAGGTCCTTTCCGCCAGCAGTGGCGTGAGTGAGCAGCTGCAGGGCTGCGCCTACATACCACCTCCTCTAATTTTACACTGCGGGTGGAGAAGTCCGATTGGCTCGCACGCCCTCCCCCACCCTCGTCAACGGCATGGCTCCGCGCGCAGCTTTGCTGCTTCCCGCTCTGTGTGTGGCCGAGAAGCTCTCCTGCTGCGCTCGCTTGTTGGGGCAGCAGAAAGTGGATCCTCTTTTGAGTCGATATATTCTCTTGCCTGCAAATGACCGTACACCGGAGTGACCTGGTGGGGGCCTGTGTTAAAATTACTTTTGTTTTTGTTGGAATTTACTCCATCAATCTTCAATATTGATCGTATAAGTGGTGTAATCCTCCAGCAAAGAACTCGGCTGAGTCTCAAGGCACGTTTTCAGGAGGTTTCCCGTGCAACATATTAGCACATTTTCTCGTTGCGTTTATTTATTTGGTTTTACGAGCGAGCCAATTGACGACAGCAAAAGGAAATTGTGGCAATCGATCTTTCTCCCACCACCACCACCTTTGTGATGGGCCCAAGTAGGCACAGTTTCCCATCCAGGGGAAGAGGGAAAGGAAACCGTTTGGACGGTTATTTCATCATCCTTATTTTCATCGGCCCATGATCAATCCACTGCTAGTTGAAATTCTTCTCCCTGAGCCATCGCCATCTCTTAGGACCGTGTGAGCCGATTTAGTTGTTCCAAATAATTTCAAGGCCGCTGCTGCGTTGGCAATGGTGCACAATTCATCTCGTCGCATTTATCAAAAACACTGCGTTTGGCCTTCAAAGAAAAAGTATATAATAGGTTATGTTTCGGGCTATGGCACTTGTTCATGGTATATATACAGTCAGGGAAAAAAGTATTTGATCCCCTGCTGATTTTGTACGTTTGCCCACTGACAAAGAAATTATCAGTCTATAATTTTAATGGTAGGTTTATTTGAACAGTGAGAGACAGAATAACAACAAAAAAATCCAGAAAAATGCATGTCAAAAATGTTATAAATTGATTTGCATTTTAATGAGGGAAATAAGTATTTGACCCCTCTGCAAAACATGACTTAGTACTTGGTGGCAAAACCCTTGTTGGCAATCACAGAGGTCAGACGTTTCTTGTCGTTGGCCACCGGGTTTGCACACATCTCAGGAGGGATTTTGTCCCACTTCTCTTTGCAGATCTTCTCCAAGTCATTAAGGTTTCGAGGCTGACGTTTGGGAACTCGAACCTTCAGCTCCCTCCACAGATTTTCTATGGGATTAAGGTCTGGAGACTGGCTAGGCCACTCCAGGACCTTAATGTGCTTCTTCTTGAGCCACTCCTTTGTTGCCTTGGCGGTGTGTTTTGGGTCATTGTCATGCTGGAATACCAATCCACGACCCATTTTCAATGCCCTGGCTGAGGGAAGGAGGTTCTCACCCAAGATTTGACAGTACATGGCCCCATCCATCGTTCCTTTGTTGCGGTGAAGTTGTCCTGTCCCCTTAGCAGAAAAACACCCCCAAAGCATAATGTTTCCACCTCCATGTTTGACGGTGGGGATGGTGTTCTTGGGGTCATAGGCAGCATTCCTCCTCCTCCAAACACGGCGAGTTGAGTTGATGCCAAAGAGCTCCATTTTGGTCTCATCTGACCACAACACTTTCACCCAGTTGTCCTCTGAATCATTCAGATGTTCATTGGCAAACTTCAGACGGGCATGTATATGTGCTTTTTTGAGCATGGGGACCTTGCGGGCGCTGCAGGATTTCAGTCCTCCACGGCGTAGTGTGCTACCAATTGTTTTATTGGTGACTATGGTCCCAGCTGCCTTGAGATGATTGACAAGATCCTCCCGTGTAGTTCTGGGCTGATTCCTCACCGTTCTCATGATCATTGCAACTCCACGAGGTGAGATCTTGCATGGAGCCCCAGGCCGAGGGAGATTGACAGTTCTTTTGTGTTTCTTCCATTTGCGAATAATCTCACCAACTGTTGTCACCTTCTCACCAAGCTCCTTGGCAATGGTCTTGTAGCCCATTCCAGCCTTGTGTAGGTCTACAATCTTGTCCCTGACATCCTTGAAGAGCTGTTTGGTCTTGGCCATGGTGGAGAGTTCGGAATCTGATTGATTGATTGCTTCTGTGGACAGGTGCCTTTTATACAGGTAACAAGCTGAGATTAGGAGCACTCCCTTTAAGGGTGTGCTCCCAATCTCAACTCGTTACCTGTATAAAAGACACCTGGGAGCCCGAAATGTTTCTGATTGGGAGGGGTCAAATACTTATTTCCCTCATTAAAATGCAAATCAATTTATAACATTTTCGACATGCGTTTTTCTGGATTTTTTTGTTGTTATTCTGTCTCTTCACTGTTCAAATAAACCTACCATTAAAATTATAGACTGATAATTTCTTCGTCAGTGGGCAAACGTACAAAATCAGCAGGGGATCAAATACTTTTTTCCCTCACTGTAGATGTATTAATAGAGGCCAGAGAGATATAGAGGTGATAATAAGAGTTGGAGACTGCACTTGGCACCATGGGGCCTGATGAGACTTTTTTTACGAGAATTATGGGAAAACATTTTCTTGTGACCAGTTTTTACCTCGGCATATGAATAGTCACCTCGTTATGGGCATGGGTTTGATCCTGGACCCTGGCGATGCCTGTTATATATCTGGATTTTGCGTGCTCTCTCTCTCCCCGTGGTGGTCACGTGGATTTGGCTGCTACGATAATGATGATATCAACCACTTCGATGTGCATGCCACTAGCACGTTAGGCTAAGTACGGTGCAGATCACCTTTGAAAAATAGTTCATAGTTTAACACGTTAACTTTTTTGCGACCAATATCCATAATGCTGGCTATTTGGGTAAGATTGCGTAAATATATAAATGTGTCGCCTGATGAAGCTAGTTGTAATTACTGCCGAAACGTCATACTCAGGTTGTAAATGTTGTGGCTTTGCTCTCCAACACATCGGTGTGCTGAATTAGTAACGAATTGGCATGTTCTGTTTACGTGACAACCCTTGCTTATTGGCTGTGTGGGGTGGTGGCGGGTTTTACGCGATTTATCCCAAAAAACCTGTATTTATGGAAGAGTTCATAGCCCAATGGACTTTTACCCGGTAATTAATATAGTTCAGTGTCATCCACGCATCTCCATTTCTCTCGGCCCCCGTCTTTAGTCGTCACGAGAGAACGGCTCTCCGTGCAAATGAGTTCCAGCGAACACATTGAAAGCACGGGCCTTGTCTTGTTAAGGAAACGAATAACATTCGGCCTCGAGACTAAGGTGCGATGCGGCAGCACGAGCAGAAACGGAGTGGAGCGTCAGAATATCGACGCCTGTCGTCTACCATGTGGCTTTCTTTCATCTGCAGCCAATTCATTACCCAGCAGAGGGAAATGCCAAGCCTGGGTTGGTTTCTTTATTTCTTCTAAGGGGTGAAAGAAATTAATAAAAATGAGATCGTGATATTTATTTATTTTTACAAAGTAACGGCACACAGCCCTTCCGCCCTCCCAGCCCCCCCCCCCCCCCCCCCCTTGCCGTTAACCCCCCCCCCCGCCCGTGCTCCCTCCACCCCCCTCCTCAACTCCCCCCCCCCCCCCGAGCTTTTAGATGGCTTCCAGGGTGGGAGAAAGCGCCTCATTAAACGTGACCTATATTGAATAGAATCATTCCCCGTGGATTTTAGACAAAGTGCAAATGGGACAGCCCACGCTATTGAAGAACTGCCTCTGCTGTATGATTTCACAGCATGTTTTGGGACAGAGAGAGAGATTAAAATAAAACACGGTCAGGTACGACGGAACCTTTTGACTTCAAAACGGGGAGCGGAAAAATACATTTTATTGGCTCTTGTTCTGCAAAATATAGTGTTCCGTTTATAGTTACCCGACCAAAAATAATAGAAGACGTTATTAGTGGCAATGGCTCTTTTTTCCTATAAACATCGCCCATTTCACCAGCGTTGGTTTTAGGGCAAACCTGACTCCACTGCTGATGAGCCACTGAATGATGAAAACAGTCCAGATTTGGCTCGTTTTGAAGAAATCGCTGCTGATACGAGAGTCTTCCAGAAGGCCGTATGGCTGACAAATTGTGTAAAAAGGATATATGTCTTAATGCGGAGAGACAAATATGGCAAGGAGGCGTTAGTCTTGTAACTTAACGGTAAGTCCTCGGTTTTAGCGCGTAGTGTTCACACCGTGCGTTTTCGCTATCACGCCTTTCGTCCATTAGGGAACACTTTTCACACAATGCGGAAAGCGCGCCATCGCAGCGCGGTTTTTAACCAGTCGACGATGAACTCCTGTGTTCAGCTGCACAGCTGAGCGGAGTGATACGGTCCACGGAACGATGGAACGACGTGGCGGCGTAACCTCAGTTGTTTCTCCACGCCATCTTACTGCGTGTGCGTAGTAATCCATCGTATCTCGCCAAAACTTACCGTTCTATTGTTTATGGGGAAATTGTTTCGCTTGACACGTTTACAGCTTAACCCGGCACTTTTCAGGAACGCATCTACTAGCGCTTTACAAACGATGACTTGCCGTACTGCTTAACCGTTCATCCGTCCGCCTGCGTCCTGCTGTGGTCTTCCCCGGCCCTCGACAGACTTTGACTTCAATGTGCCCGGCTCCACGAAACTGCACAACCTCATCTCCAAGCTGAAGAAGTGGATCAAGGTGTTGGAGGCCAGGACAAAGCTGCTGCCCAAGTTCTTCCTCATCGAGGAGAAGTGCCGCTTCCTGAGCAACTTCTCGGCTCAGACGGCCGAGGTGGAGATCCCCGGAGAGTGCCTCCTTCCCAAGCCCACGCACTACTACATCAAGATCGCCAGGTCTGCCCTCGCTGTTGTGTCTCCGTGTGTGTGTTCGTGTGCATCTCAGTCAGTCAACCCATGGCACCTGGGTCTGTCCTTTGACCTCCTGCCAGCAGGCGTTCGACACTTCACTTGGCTTTTAAGTGCACCTGGCCTGGCACAGGCACCGTGGTCACGTCACCGCCACTTAGTGGTGAATGTCAGTTTTTGTTGACCGTGTGTGTGTGCGGGGAGCGGTAGTGTAGCGGATAGCGCGCTGCGCTACGATCCCGGCGACCCGAGTTTGATTCCCGCTTATGGCCAACACCAGTGACGATTATCTGAACCGGTCCTGGGCCTGCCCTAGGTCGACTCAGCCTAACATGAGTACCTGGTGCCGTATGTAAACATTCCCAAGGTGACCGGGCGTGGTGCTTACAACGTTTGCTCCAAAGGTAAATCCTGGCGGTGGTGGTGTAAATAGTAGATGTTCTGTTCATGATGGTGATAGCGTTGGTTCTGTAAAGGTGGATGGTACCGATGAAAATGGATAGAATGGATAGTATTGATGATGATGGTGACTGAAATAATTGTTTGGCATTCTTGGTGTGGTAGTGCTTACAATAATGAATGGTAGTTGGTGGTGATGATGACGATCATTGTTAGTTATGATTCGCGATGATGGTAGTCGTGGTGGCAGGTGGTGGCGATGATGCTGGTCGGAGCGGCGGCCGATGTAGTGACGATACTCGTAATGGTTGTTGATGGTGGTGCGGATATGTAGACCTCGCGCTGGTTGCGACGGTACATAGTCCGAGCGGCGGCGATCACGACGCTGACGATTAGCGGTAATGACGACGATTAACATCAATGCTGACGATGCCCCCGCAGCGGCCTACGGCTCCGCGCACTCAACCCGCCCGCTGTTGTCTCTTGTGTGCAGGTTCATGCCGCGGGTGGAGATCGTGCAGAAGCACAACACGGCGGCGCGGCGCCTCTACATCCGCGGCCACAACGGCCGCCTCTACCCCTACCTGGTGATGAACGACGCCTGCCTCACCGAGTCGCGGCGTGAGGAGAGGGTCCTGCAGCTGCTGCGGCTCCTCAACCCATGCCTCGAGAAACGCAAGGAGACCGCCAAGAGGCACCTGCTGTTCACTGGTACAGAACGCCGCCGGCGCGTTGCCGTCCGCCCCACCCCCCCCCCCCCCCCCTTTCGCAAATTCACTCGTTTCGATAATTTGATGGTTCCTTTATTTTCCTCCTCTGTTGGTTCGTCGTCTTATGCTCACCCGCCCATGCCCGGAGTACTACGGGGAGATGCCCTAGGAGGCGCGCCTCGATCTTTACCGGTACCGCGAGGGCTGTCCCGTTCGCCCGCCTGCCCGTTCGCGTCTGCGTTCTTTTCGCAAGTTTCTTCATTTCGGTGATTTGCGCTTTTCGTTTGCTCATTTGCTCCTTGACTTAATCTCACCCGTGCCTTGGGAAAGCGCAAGAGAGACGGACGGGCAAGGGGCACTTGCCATCGCCAGGGCGCCAGCGTGTGTGTGTTCTCCAGCATGTTAGCCAGGGCCCCAGCGCGTTCACCAGGGGGCCAGCGTGTTCGCCAGGGGGCCAACGTGTGTGTGTTCACCAGCGTGTTTTGCCAGGGCGCCAGCGTGTTTGCCAGGGGGCCAGCGTGTTTTGCCAGGGCGCCAGCGTGTTCGCCAGGGGGCCAGCGTGTGTGTGTTCACCAGTGTATTTGCCAGGGCGCCAGCCAGCGTGTGTGTTCACCAGCGTGTTTTGCCAGGGCGCCAGCATATTTGCCAGGGCGCCAGCCAGCGTGTGTGTGTTCACCAGCGTGTTTTGCCAGGGCGCCAGCGTGTTTTGCCAGGGCGCCAGCGTGTTTTGCCAGGGCGCCAGCGTGTTCGCCAGGGGGCCAGCGTGTGTGTTCACCAGCGTGTTCGCCAGGGCCCCCCAGCGTGTTCCGTTGACCTTTGCACTCTTTCGCTAGTTTATCCGCGAGGTAAATTTTTGTCCATGCCAGGAGAAACACAACTGAGATGGCAAACGAAGCGCACCTGCTGTGTGCCAGGGCACTTCAGAATCAGATTCAGAATATTTGTGCATACTGAAGGAATCCAATGTCTAATAGTTTCATTGGTTCGATCGTTCATTTGTTTTGTTTAGCCACTCAACCGCTCACTCGTATGTTCCTTATGCCACCTAACCGCTTGTTTCATTAACAGTTTAATTCATTTTAATTCACCTCTTAATTCGTTAAGCTTGTTTTGCCACTCGTGCATTCGTTTATACCGTGGTGTTTCTGCTCAATCATGTCTTCTATTCTTAATTCATACCCCGATTCACTCTTTTTATTCACTCAATAATAATTTCATTTGGTTTATTCACTCATTTTCGCTCTTTCGCCTGATTTGGTCACTCATTGGACAGTTTAACGAGCAACAGCAGTAGCAGCGGCGGAGGAGGAGGGAATTAGTGGGGGGGGAGAGGATAAATATTACGCGGATAACGTTTCACATCCTCTCTCCCTTCCTGTGATTTTGATTGGCCGTTACGATTCAGGGTCATGACTATGAACGAACGCCTTTGTTACTTGGGTCTCTTAGCCGTATCTCGGGGTACCGATGGCATGACTTTGCGTGTCGTCCTGCCACGCTGTGAATTGTGGGAAACGACGATGAGGCTTTTGCCACCTGCTTGATACGGCAACGCCAGCTACGAAACTTTTGGCGGCTTGTTTGTGGGGAGTGATGGACTCGTTTACCGCACGGCGCTACAAACCCTCTACTCGAGTTGGATTCCCGCTCACGGCCAACGTCGGTTTCAAATATCTGAACTGGCCCTGGGCCTCCCCGCGGTCACTTCGGCTTTTCACGAGTACCTGCTGCAGTGTGTAGTAAACATCACCGCGAGGGAGGGAAAGGCGGCCGCGTGTGGTGCCGACCACCGCCTCGTGTGCTGTGTCGGTCTTCATAGGTGCTGCTCGCTAACAACGCTTGCCCCAACAGTCTGTTGAAGGCTTTATGGGGGGGGGGGTCTTTGTCACTGTCTCGTTTGTGAGTGTTTGCATTTCTTTGGTGTTGTTGTTGTTGTCGATGGATGATGACGATCGATGTTGATATCTCGGTATCTTCTTTCCCCCACAACCAACCTCTCCACCTCCTCCCCACCTCTCCCCCCACCACGGCCGTGTGCGGCCCCTCCTGGCAGTGCCACGCGTGGTGGCGGTGTCCCCGCAGATGCGGCTCGTCGAGGACAACCCCTCGTCGCTCTCCCTGCTCGAGATCTACAGGCAGCGCTGCGCCAAGAAGGGCATGGAGCACGACAACCCCATCTCGCGCTACTACGAGCGCCTCGCCACCGTGCAGGCGCGCGGCACCCAAGTCAGCCACCAGGTGCGGCACCGCGCCACCGTCACCCCCCCCCCCCTCCCCCCGCCGGTGCTCCATCAGCTCTCGCGTGAAAGATAGCCCCCCCCCCAGCCCCCCCCCCCTCCCTGCACGCCCGGTTGTCACAGGCTGCTCTGCGGGGCTGCGATATGCGGCGGTCGGCAGCATCGGCCAGTGTGCGGCAAAATCCTTCGTTGTACTGTACTCCTGAGCTGCCCCACGTCTGTGCTCTCCGCGATTGCCGACCAGCGTAGCGTCGTATGATCCAGCAATCCCCACAACAGGCACGGCATTTGGGGGGGGGGGGGGGGGGGCGGCCTTCATCCAGCAGTGGATTGACAAAAATGGCTGTACGTGTACTGCTTGGCACATTTGTCTGATGTCTTCCTTGAGCGGCTCATTGTGTGGGAGGTTCCAGGGGTTTCCCCAACATACAAACAAAGCTCCATCTCAACACACGAGATCCACATAAACGATTCATCGGTTTGAACGCGATTTTATCCAGCAGCGGATTGACCAAGAGGGGCCCGTTAACCACGCGTGTCCCAATAGAGGTGCGCAGGGGTCACCGCAGATTGGCCGCGCACGTGGCGTCGAGTTGCGGTTCGGGAGAAGGGCGGCGGTGTCGCGGCGGTGAGCGGGAGTTTAGTTGCTGCCCCGCGGAGTGATGTGTCGCCACGTAATTCCGTTTTTATTGGATGGCGGGGCACCTGTCTGCACTGGAGATGCATGCAGAATCACCACGCGCTCTTTCATCTCCCAGATGCCTGGCGCGATGGGGAGTGGCGGGGTGGGGGGGGGCAGCACTGGGGAGGTTTGGGGGGGGGCGCGAGCGGTTTTTATGAGCAGGCCGTTGAGTGACTGCACACGATGGCGTGCGGTCGCGCTGGTGCCAGCTTGTGTGAGCGTGCGTGTGAGCGTGCGTGTGTACGAGTGGGGAGCGATAGTGTAGCGGTTAGCGCGCTGCGCTATGAACCTGGCGACCCGGGTTCGATTCCCGCTCACGGCCAACACCAGTGACGATTATCTGAACCGGTCCCGGGCCTCCCCTAGGTCGACTCAACCTCAAATGAGTACCTGGTGCGGTGTGTAAACATTGCTACTAGGGAGACAAAGGCGGTCGGGCGTGGTGCTGGCCACCCACCCCCTCGTGTACCGTTCCGGCCTTCATAGGTGCTCGCTAACAGCACTTGCCCCTACAGTCTGTTAAGGCTATATGGGGGATCTTTGTCTTTGTACGAGTGTCATAGTGCGTGTATGCCTGTGCGTGTATGTGCGCACTGTGTGTGTGTGTCTGTCTTCGTGTTTGTATTACAATGTGTTTCAGAATGTGTGCGTGTTTGTTGTGGTGAGCAGTAGTGCAGCAGCGGATAGCTCGCCGCGCTATGAACCCTGCAAACAGGGTTGGATTCCCGCTCGTGGACAACACCAGTGATGATTATCTCGACTGGTCCTGGTTCTCCCTTAGGTGGGCTAAGCCTCAAATGAGTACCCAGTACGATGTGTAAACATTGCCACAAGGGAGACAAAATGCGGCCGGGCATGTTGCTGGCCACAACATCCCCCTTCCTGCACCATGCAGACCGTAATAGCTGACCCTGCTGAGACTCGGCGAGGATTTCCAGGGTAAATAAGCGTTACAAGAAAGAAACTTAGGTTATATTTTGACACGGAGAAAGGGGCCCTTATCAGAAAACTCCCGCTGCTCGGATCTATTGCGAGGGAGGAAAAATATTTAATCTACCCGCACTGGGCTAGGGATGCATTTTTTCCTCCACTAAATCTCCTTTAATTACACACACACACACACGGGTCTTCTGAGACGGGCTTGATCTCTCCTGTGACGTGCCATTCCTCTGTTCACCTTGTAAAAAATCATCTTCGCCCCCCTTTGTTAATTTCCTGGGGTGATCGGGCTTTTTGCCAGTGCAGCTCTGCAGGTGTTGTCACGCTCTGTCTTTGCTAAATAAGACAATCGGGAATCGTTTGCTATATTTAAGTCTGTCTTGAAAGTTTGCCTCTTGGCATTTTACCCCCTAGTTCTGCCCGTTTACCCCGCAGGTTCTGTTTGGTTCCTGCTTTTCGTACACGGCACGCATTGGAATCTACAGATGGAATGCGGCTCATGAATGTCAATTATTATTTTATTATTCTTGACGGCGATGTGAAAACGCGTGTGCAGCGGCGTAACTGCCGGCTGGTATTTTTGGGCGAATGTCGGGCCTTGTGATTATTTTTTGGACCCGCGGTAAGTAGCAAATAAACAACACGATATAACTTTGGGAGAAAAAAAAAACGGCATCATTATGTGCATAGTTGTATTAAAAAAAAAAGTTTATCTTCGTCTTTAACACCATCGTGATCATCGCCAATCAGTCATCATCAACCATTGTGGTCACAGTGATCATCAGTCGTCATCGTTGACATCTTCATGCCTCCTGCGTTGGTAAAACGAGCACCGCTTTTGAAAGTCAACGGTCATCCTTTGAAGGGTCCAGCTCCTTGCTCTGAAAATGTGGAATTTACACCATCGCTCAAGCTTGGAAACGAGCACAACCAAATGCTTTTTTGAGCTCATACGGTTAAAGCTGGGTCGGCATATGCAGTCGACAAAACTGATGAACGTTTAAATTACGTTGAGTGGATGTTGGGGGTTGTGGCGCAGTGGTTGGCGTGCCGCGCTTCGGAGGTGCCGACACAATTCCCGGCTGCGGCCGTAACACCGGTTACAAGTTACAGTTGAACCGGTCCTGGTTGTTGCCCACTTTACCAACATGCACCGCCGAGCGTGGCGAAGTATGGTCAAACACACCTGCACGACTGCCACGGCAGTGGCTTGACAAGCGCCATGAATGAACCATCAGAATCCATTGAAGTGTATCCTTTGGGTCTCTCGGTTAAGTCACGTAGATAGGTTCAAAGAAAATAACAAAAAACTGTGACGCTTCGATCGCAACGCAAGTGGTCGTCATCAGGCCCTCGTCTTTTTTCAGCCTGATGACGACCGCTCGCGTTGCGATCGAAACGTCCTAGTTTTTTTGTTATTTTTGTTATTTTCTTTGATCCTATCTACGTGACTTTACCGAAAGACCCAAAGAATACAAATTCCTGCAGTCACGAAAACTTTCAGTCATTAATGTGTGTTTGGTGTAATGTGGGGTTGTCCCCCCTCCCCCCCCCCCACCTAAAGATAATTCCTTGCAGAGGAGGGCGTTTAATTGCCCCTGCAGCTCATTTGCATCGTTCCCGCGCAGCATTAATTCATTCCCTTTCCCCGACCCCCTTGTATGGGGCCGCCCACGCCGCGCGTGCGCCCGTGGACAATCGCCGTGCGTGTCTCGGGGAAACGCGATTCTTGTTTTTCTTTGGTGTGACACTGGCGGTGCGATTTAACGCGACGAGACCCGACCCCACCCCCCCCCCCCCCCCCGTCCTGCTAAGCGGGCGTTGACATACGAGCGATTCGAATGGGTTTGGTGAAAAGGTCGTGTTAAAGTGTACCGTTGTGCAAGTTTCTCTTTAGTTTTTTTTATTATTGTAAACGAACCTCTGGACCGTGTCAGTAGTGGTGGGTGGGTGGTTGGCCCATTATGTGTTCCAGTAAAGCGGGCGAAAATGCTCGACACGTTCATTGTCCTACCCGGCCACCTTTCACTCTCTCGTACACTTCTGCTTGAAACTCGCTGCACTAGAGAACCCTATTTAATCGCGGTTGGCTGAAACCCCCCGCATTCGAATCCCCTGGGTCTCGGAGATGTCTGATCTGCTTGCTCAGTTTCAGTTTCATTTATTAGGATTTACCCTGTGAGCCATTCGGCTCTTGATTTGGATTCAACCGCAACAAACAATAAAATTACAAGATCCACCTAAAATTCATTGTACACAAATCTAATAAACATCACATACGTGAAGAATAAAATCCTACAGAAAAAGCACAACCCGTCCATGCAGCGCGAGTGACTCGCTAACGGATGGTCACGAGTTCATATCCTGGTTGGGGCGGGGGGGGTGAATCAGCCCATCATTCATCTGGGGGTCGAAAAAAATAGGTACCGCTTTGTGGGGGAAGACAACAGTGGTTGTCCTCTGGAGAGGCTCGCCCCCCCCTGCCATAGGGATGAGAGTTTCCTCCAGTGGCTCAGTGCCCTGAACAGGAGATTCTCGTTTGAGCAGAATATCACTTTGACTTTTTAACTTATCTCATTGACCCCGAGTGAGCACATTGGCATGGCATTCTTTTAACCCCCTGTGCCCCATAGCCACCTGAACCTCGTGGAAGAATAATTTGCAGGCCATTGTCAATCCACTGCTGGATGAATGTCTCCTCATACGATGTCAGTAATGGAGTTTATTTGAAACATACTTCACCAATGCTGGTCAGTGCGGGTTTGACGAATGGCGGTAGTGAGCCAGAAACGGGTTCAGCTTATCACCGGCCACCGACGTGGCTTCGTAGTGCGAGCACAGCTAACCACTGTGCCACCGCTCCTCCGAACTCGTTATACATTTATAAACTACATATATTATCTCAAGCTTGTCGCCGTGGCTTTCGTTGAGCCAGCGACGACATGTCGCGGTTCCCGCCAGGGGTCACGGCATTCCTGTGCTCGTCGGTCTCTCTCCTCCGCTGACGCCTGTTGAATATTTCTTCCCCCATTGCTGCGCCACCCACTCGCTGGCATCACCTTTGTTTACGGAGCTCAAGAGCCACGGTGGACGCCGTGCGTTGACGTTTTACTTTTAACAATAAACCCATTTTGATCGCCGTACATTGATTTTATCGAATATCTGCCCCAACACTACCCATAATTAAACTAATGGAGCATATACTGTCCTATTGTTTATGAATACCACGAAGCGTTGAAAACAAAAGGAAAAGAGACGATGTGGCGGGTACAGTATACTCAGAGTAACAATGTAACAGCATGACTTAGAGTGCTATACAGGACACCGCCAGCTTGGGGCACATGCGACTCCGCCTTATGCCTCGCTCCGCTGTATTCATCCGCAACCTCACCGCGCTGCACTATTTGCACTTACGTAACTAATGCAAAGTTTACGCATGCGGTATTGACATTTTCTTACATGAATTATGGAAGCATTTCCGTAAAGTTGGATTTCCGTTAGTCAGGTCTTCCGTAACCCAGGGACTGCCTGTACAGTTTATTTGAAATCGTGATTTCATATTTACAGGACGTCGCGGCTGCCTACATAAATACACACACACACAAGGGGGGAGGGGGGAGTGGTGGCACGGTGGTTAGCGCACTGCACTATGAACCTGGGGTGAGCTTAGTCCAATTCCCGGCCGCGACTAACGTCAGTGGCCACAAGCGATATCTGAACGGGTAGAGACTCCCCGTCCCGCTCTCCTCCGCCCGCCCGCTGCCCCCTCCAAAAGTCAAGATTGTGCTTGCTTAGCCTGGTTAAGCCTCACCCCTGTGAGTCCCATGACTTTTTTTCAGGAGGGTCCTGCCAAGTTGTTTTTTGCGGTAAAGGCGCTAATGATCGCTACGTCTATTCTGATCAAATAACATTGCGGGTAACTCTTTCGACTCTGTTCACATTTTGGACCGTGCCCTCACCACCCGCGTGCGTTTGACCTCCCGACCTGACACCCCCCCACCCCCGTAGGTGCTGCGCGACATCCTCAAGGAGGTGCAGGCGAATATGGTTCCACGGGGAATGCTGAAGGAGTGGGCTCTGCACACGTTTCCCAGCGCCACCGACTACTGGACCTTCCGCAAGATGTTCACTGTGCAGCTGGCCTTGCTGGGCTTTGCCGAGTTCGTGCTGCACCTCAACCGCCTTAACCCGGAGATGATTCAGATCGCACAGGTGAGAGAGATAGTGCGGCGCACCCCACTCTACCACCCCCCCCCCCGCCCTCCCCGCTGAACAGCTGTGTTAAAAAGAGGTACGTTAAAACTAAACTTAAGAGGTTTTTTTTTTTACCGGGTATAACCCACTGAGCTCTATAGAAGCGACCTGGCCACATAAGATAGCTTAACCGTAGTAGCCAAATGCGCTAAATTCATGTCTCTAAATGTGGAGGGAAAAGCCAGAGGACCGGGAGAAAAATCCACCGCCACCCCCACCCTCCCCCCTTGCCACCAGCTCCCCAGGCCCCTCTCGCGCAAACACTGCGTTCCTTATGCTCTGCTGCCGTTAAAATAATGTGCGCCGTAGCGGTTAGCGGTCACAATAGCGACGTTGTATTTCAAATGTCACATCCCGAGCAGGTGCCTGCAGGTGTGGTCAGGAGCGTGCAGGTGTAGTCACATGCTTGCAGGTGTAGTCACATGGTTGCAGGTGTAGTCGGGTGCGTGCAGGTGAGGTCAGGTGTGGTCAGGTGTAGTCAGGTGCATGTAGGTGAGGTCATATGCGTGCAGGTGTGGTCAGGTGCGTGCAGGTGTGGTCAGGTGTGGTCAGGTGTGGTCAGGTGTGGTCAGGTGTGGTCACGTGCTTGCAGGTGTGGTCAGGTGCGTGCAGGTGTGGTCAGGTGCCACGCTCGTTACAGTCCTGCTTTGTCTTTTGGTTCTCCCTGAAAAAATCATCATCGTTCACCACATTGTCGGTGAAACTAGTTCCAACATCCCCAGCACCCCACGCTTGCTACTCCGCACCTTCCTTAATCCCCTCTTCGCCCCCCCCCCCCCCTTACTGTATTTTGTTTCGCAAAACCACAAACCTCCCCCCACCCCCCACACAACCAAGGCAATTGCGTGACCTCAAGGAGCCCGCATATAACAACGTGGATTTACTTTTGGGACACATTTGTCGTTGAGTCTCCCAACCTGCCATCGTGGACAATTGGACCGATGTTCTTTTAATTCTCCAACCGTTATCCGTGGAGTTAAGAGGCCTGCTCTCTGTATTTTTTTTGTTCTCCAACCGTACGACTCACGGTTTCCCTGTCAATTGACACCGTGGCGTTGTCACCCCCGGTTGCTTTTTGTGTGTGGGTGTGATTTTTGGATTCGTTTTTTTTTTTGCCCGTAGGTAAGGGAGACCCGCTATAATATTGCGTCCAGCGATATACGAGGTCAAAGTTGTTAGCCCTGAAATTGCTTGCTCATTCCACTGCTGGCTGAATGGATTGACTCCTAAGAGGAAGCTCTGGAGAGGCCCAACTCCTGAAAATATTTGGCCTGCTCTTCCACGCTGCCTAAACATCTCGGAAACATCTACGAATACCCGAATTTTACCCCACTACACAGGGAGCGTGCATCGAACCAGCGATTGCTGGATTGCAAGCGCAGTATGCTGAACATGACACCACACATATATCATCCATATATATAAAGACAAAAGATCCCCTGTACAGCTTTTAACAGATTGTTGAGTCAAGTGCTGTTAGCAGGGTGCACCTATGAAGGCCGGTACAGCACACGAGGGGGTTAGTGTCCAGAACCGCGCCTGGCCGCCTTTGTCTCCCTAGTAGCGATGTTTTCTACACACCGCACCAGGTACTCATTTGAGTCTACCTAGCGGAAGCCCAGTTTTGAAGCAGATAATCGCGACTGTTGTTGGTGGCTGTGAGCGGCAATCAAACTCGGGTCACCGGGTTCGTAGCGCAGTGTCCGAACCGCTGCACCACCGCTAAATATACCGTACACAAACACACACCCATATTTCATTCTCTCTTCCTGGATAGTACATAATAGGTGCTATGGGCTGCTGCAGGGCTATGTGTGGTGGGCAGCAGAGGGCAGTGCAGGAAAAGCCATTGTTGCAGCGGTTCGCACTGATCAGCCCGTGGTGCGATATGGTCAAATACACACCCCCTCCACCTTCCATGATGAAGCACCTCATCTAGCAGTGGATCGGCAAAGGGGCTGCACGTGTAGACATGGACATGTTCTCCTGCATCGTCATCTCCCTGGCAGCCGCAGCCCCCCCCCAAACCCGCACGCGATGATGACGACGGTGGTATCGAATTAAAGCCAAGCCCGTGCTCAGGGAACCATCTATCGTTTCAAACTATCGCATTTTTGTTAGAGTTTGCCAAAAACATTGTTTTTTAAACCATCTGCAGTTAAGACGAGAGGTGAGCTGAAGTTTATAGGTCACGAGTAAATGAGGTCTTCAACTTTGCATGTGTGTTCTGTGGCACGTGTGTGCCTGTCTGGGGGTCTCTCTGTCGTGTCTCGTCTTACGGTGTTAACTCCCAGCATCCACCTGTCCACGCTTTTTGTCTGTTCGTTTCAACTGCACTGTTTTTTTTCCAGCCAACAACAACAACAACAACCCCGACTTCACATTCGTCGTGTTTATCCCACAATTCGCAATAAATAAGCGCGAGCTCGCAAATAAATCACCGCCTTTCCCAGTGGGCCCTGCCGTTACGTTTCAACGCATGCCCACCCCGGCCGCAACGCGAGTCGGCTTGCCGGTTCCCCCCACCTCCCCCCCCCCCCCCCGCTGCTGACGCCGTAGAAACTCCACCACGTGGGCCCTGAAGCTGGGAAGTGCCTCGCCGGCAGATTCCAGGCAAAGTTTGGCCGACTCTTGAAACGGTGCCGATTTTGTAAGAGCTGTTAAAATTCATCACGGGAGATTTTTTTTTTTCATTTCCCAACAGCAGAAGTGGCCAAGGAGGTCGACGGGAGCAGACTGGCAGATGCACGGCCGAGATGATTTTGTTTTTATTTGGAAAGGAAATGTGTGCGTCTCTCTGTCTCTGCGTGTGTATGTCACTCGCTCCGTCTGTCTCCCTGTCTCTTTCTGTCTCTCCCCCTCTCTGTGTCAATTTATGACTCATTCTTTTGGCTCTTTCTCTCTCCCTCTCTCTGTTTTGCTGTTCGTCTTTGTCTCGGTCTTGCCTCTCTCTGTGTCTCGCTCCTTCTGTCTCTTTGTTCATCTCTCTGTCTTTATGCATGTCTCTCTGTGTGTCTCTCTTGATCTCTTAGTCCCTTTCTCTGTCTCTCTGTGTCTGTCTTCGGGCCTCTTCCTCTCTCCCTGTCTCTCTGCATCTCTGCGTGTATTTATGTCTCTATCAGTGTCTGTCTCTCTCCCTCCATCTCTTCCTCTCTCTCCCTGCCCTGTTTTTCTATCATTCTCTTTGTCTGTGTATGTGTCTCTATTTACATCTGTCAGACACTACCTCACTCCCCACACGTGTCCGAATTTCCTCTTTGTCTCTCGGTCTCTTCCCCCTCGCTCTCTGCCTCTCCGTGTCTCTCTGTATCGGTTGTCAGAGGAAATCACTTTACAGGAGGATTGAGTAGCTGTCCCTAGGGACCGATAAAAGCGCTCACTTCCCAGCGTGTCCCATTGATAGCAGGCAAGAGCACAAAAAAATTACCTCATCCGCTTTGAAATATGGATGAGCCTCACGGTTTGCACGGCATTCGCCAAGGGTACGAGTGGCCATTATTTCACACGTATATATAATAGACATTTTATTACACTGCTCTTACCGCTGTAGTCTGCCACCACCTCGCTCATACTTACCCGGTGACGCGCGTGCCAAATTGCTTATTTATTTCTCTGGGCGCACGTTAACTTCAGGCTTCCGAGCCTGAGACGGTGAGTCGGCGGATACAGTCGGCGCTGACCGCTTGCTCGCTTGCGCAGCTGAGTAGTTGGCGCGGCGTCGCGTGGCTCTGTAAGGTCGCGGCTACACAGGGGGGGCACACGCCGCTGTGGAGGACGGAGGGGGGGGGGGGTCAGCGCACAAAATGACCGGTGGATGATCAATTTGGGAGACCGCAAACGTCATCCTGAATAGGCACCTCAATGAGGATCTCACCACCCCGCGCCCGCCCCCCCCCCCCCCCCCCCTTCCTTCTTTCCACAAGGCGTGAAATATCCGGACTGGCCATGAATCTATGGGTCTCTGTGCGAGTCTATGCAGAGACCAAACAGGTCCCTGCGTGAATCTATGGCACTCCATGTCAAGCTATGGTTCAATGTGTGGGTTTTTGGATCTCCACGTAAAGCCAGGGGTGTCTGTGTGAGTCTTTTGGCCTTCACGTGAGTCAGTGGATCTTTATGTGATGTTAACTACCTTGCCTGGAATACAGGAATTCGTGGGTTCGATCCCAAACATGACGCCTGTATATTGGAGTTTGCGTGTTTCCCTGTGCGTGAATTTTTCTCCGGGTCCTCTGGTTTTTCCCTCCACATTTATAATCAACACATGTTTAGAGTATTTGGCCGCTATACCTTCCCACATTTGTAGTAAAAGTCGACAATATTAAATAGTGTCCCACTGCGTGCGATCTCCTAGGTCACGAGAGTGAGATTTGCTCGTTGTTCTGCAAAGCCTGCAGCTAGATTCACAACCTGGACATCGATTTATAGCTGTTACTTAGTGTCCATCTGACATGGGAGAGAAGGGGAGCATGGGACGTGGCCGGGTGGCTCAGGGATCGAATACCGCTGACAGAGAACCTGAGCTGGCGCCAACTGAAATATCCTGGGTTCAGATCTGGGTTCCAGGCACCTATAACAGTAATAATAATAACACACATTGGGGTATTCACACCGTTCTTATAGCACAAAGGCTGGCTATTATGAATCTCGTTATTGATCCATGATGATGATGATGATGTTTGTGATGGTCTTAACGGTGTTACCAATTGCTTTCCTTAAAAAAAAAGGGTTAAATTTGTGTTACCCTTTACATCCACAAATGAACAGCTGTAGTGGAGTTGTCAGCAAGTAATTTGCTTGAATTGGAAATCATATAATTCGGCGCGCGGTATCGCGAGTGTGAGAAACCTCGTCTCGGCGCCCCCGTAAGCGCGGCACCTGCTCACCGGTGCTTCCATTTGTGCGTGCGTTCTCTTCCCCCCCCCCCCACCCTCCGTGGCGTGTGCAGGACACGGGCCAGCTAAGCGTGGCCTACTTCCGCTTCGACATCAACGACGCGACGGGCGACCTGGACGCCAACCGTCCCGTCCCGTTCCGCCTCACGCCCAACGTGTCCGAGTTCCTGACGCCCGTCGGCGTCGCTGGCCCGCTCGCCGCCTCCATGATCGCCATCGCGCGCTGCTTCGCGCAGCCGTCGTTCAAGGTGAGTTCACGCGCAAACGTTCACGCACACGAGCACCGGCTCGCTCGCCCGACCCACTTGCACCGCGAGAACGATCGCTCGCTTGCTCGGTCGTGAGCGCGGAGACGGAGCGATGAGGTCAGTCGGTTTGGTTAAGACAGATTGCGGTATGGACTGGGTAGTGGGGGATGGCGACAGCGTCGGGGAGAAGAGAGGCCTTCATCCAGCAGTGAAGAAGACCATCGACGAATCTAATCCACCGACTGGCACGCAGAGTAAAATGTGTAATTCGGCGTGACGGGTTTCCACACCTTTGCTGAACAGCGTTCGCACGCGCCGCCATTCTCTTGGCCGCTATTTAACAGCTCACTCGCGGCTGCGTCAAAAGAAAAAACAACGCCTGGCCGGCGATTAGAAAGGAATACGCGGGAGTGTAGTTTTAAAGGCTTCACTCGTACAACCCCTTCACTTTGATGTTGCTTGGAAAAGAATCGGAGAGGAAGGTGGTCCGGGACACTGCCACAGTGCAGTTGTTGTACAGCTCATCACTGACACGCGTGCCCCCGTCGTTCAAGCGGAGATGTTCACATAAGCCAGCGGGTTAAAAACTATGAACTAAACTATTTTTATTTTACCACGGAAGGCCAACTGAGCTATAAAGCTCTTTTCCAGACGTGACCTGGCCACAAATGATAGGTCAACGAAGTGGGCTCACCATCATGAGGAAATTTATAGCAACCAAATACTCTAAACGCGTGACGATGATTCTAAATGTTTAGGGGAAAAAACGGAGGACCCGGAGAAAAATCCACGCGAGCATGGAGAGAGAGAGAGACGTGGAAATTTCAAATATACAGGCGGTCCAGGTCGGGATCGAACCCACGACCTCATGCACACCAGGCGAGGGAGGTAACATCTCGCCACCGCGGCCCCTGGCGTGCCGCGAGAGCGCCGCAGCCCCGAGTCTCGAAGCCGCACACAGGCCGCTTCTGATTAACGGCGCGGGCCAAACTCCGCGGGCCCGGGCTGTTCTCCTCCCGGGGCATGGGGGCGACGCTCAGCGTCGCGACGCCGCCGTGCGTTTCTGCGGGGAAGCAAACGGGAGACTTGGTGTTAAAGACGGGTGTTGTCCGCCACTATTCGTGGGCGGGGGACAAACCTACAATCCCACGGGTGGCTTGGGGAAGCCGGATGCGACCCGCCAAACTCGCATTTCACGCGGCGAACCGCGGCCGCGATACCAGGCGGTGTCTCTCGGCATTCACGCCAACGTGCGGCTGGTCGGCTCCCGCCACCGCACCAAGCTCGAGTCTGTAAAAGGCAGGAAAAAGACCCCAGCTTAGTGTACAAATTCTCAAGACGACGGGTCACTGAACCCCGGCCCCTGCTGCACGATTCTTGGCCCGTCACTGAGAGCACCTAAGCCGCGCTGGTCGGGTACTGGGGTGGGGCGGGTGGATAGATTTGACGTGGCGACAATGGCCGTGCGTTTAATTTTAGCGCCACGCCCATTCACGTCTGTCACCACAAGGGCTTAGTGCAGTGACTGAAGGTGCGTGTGTGCGATTGGTCAATGTGTGGTTGCCCGCCAACTATATATTACAAAAGCTGTTTGGCCCTCCGCCGAGTACAAGGTTCCCCGACCCCCGCGCCACCCCTCGTCTTTACAGACGAGCTCGCTGTTTGGAGGTCACATTGGCTCCCTCCGCCAGCAACAAGGGGGTGAAGCGCCCCGAGCAGGGGATTTACTTTGGCGAGCGAACGAGTCAGCCCGCCGCCGGTGCACCGCAAGAGAAAAGCAAACACACGGGTCCTACCCCCCCTACCCCCCCACCCCCCCTTACAGAGCCTGCGCAGGCTCGGCCTGCCAGACCCTTGGTAGGGGGGCAGCGGGGAGATTGAGTGTCCGTGTGAATCTGTTGGGCCACGCTGCCGAGCGTCGGGGCCAGGGGTCGGCGTCTTGAGCGGAGAAATTAAGAGGGTTAAGAGGGAAGGATTCGCGTGCCTTCGACGGGAACACAGCGGTGGACCAAGCGCATGTCCGTTGCTTTGAATTGACCACGGGCGAGCGAGGATCTCCCGCCGGGGTGGATGGTGAGGATGGAGTGCTGCAGGGCAAGGATTCCAGTGAACAGTATTGGGGATCACACACAAAAACAAAGATCTCCTGTATAGCCTTAGTAGACTGTTGGGGCAAGTGCGAGCAGCACCTATGAAGGCTGGCACAGCAAACGAGGCGGTGGGTGGCCAGCATCACGCCCATCCGCCCTCATCTCCCAAGTGGCGATGTTTATACATCGCACCAGGTAGTCATTTAGGGCTGAGTCGACCGCAGGGAGGCCCACAACCGATTGTTGGCAGTGATCAGGAATCGAACTCGGGTGGCCGTGTTCGTAGCGCAGCACGCTAGCCACCACACTATCACTCCCCACACACATGCGCACACACACACACACACGTGTGCGTGCACTCGCCAGGGAAGGAAACAGGCACTGCCAGCAATAACCAACTTGACTCTCGTCTCGCTGGAAGTGAATTTCTTCACTGCTATCTCTCAATCTCTCTCCCCGTTACGACTTTGTCACTGTTGTAGTTTCCTTCCAAGTCCTTCCACTCTCCCTTCACCGCTCTTCCCTCCGAGCCTCCTGCGCAAATGCGAAGAGCACATATCTGTGCCCAACCTGAACCGAGCTGCGCGGTGCTGGGGCCAACCTCAAAATCCAGTTGTGATCATCGCGGTGTCAACAGTCACCTCCTTATCACCCTGCCACTGCTACTTCCACGGTTAATGTTCTCGCGAACTTCACTCGGTGATTCCTCCACTCGTGTTGAGGACTCTGTCTACCAAGACCGGCTGTTTCGTCTCATCCACCTCGCTGTGTTTCAGCCACCACCACACTGCAGGTCACAGCAACACACTCACCCACCCACTCACTCACCCACCCACTCACCTACTCACCCACTCACTCACCCACTCACTCACCCACCCACTCACCTACTCACCCACTCACTCACCCACTCACTCACTCACCCACTCACTCACCCACTCACTCACTCACTCACCCACCCACTCACCCACCCACTCACCCACCCACTCACTCACTCACTCACTCACCCACTCACTCACTCACCCACCCACTCACTCACCCACTCACCCACTCACCCACCCACCCACTCACTCACCCACCCACCCACTCACTCACCCACCCACCCACTCACTCACCCACCCACCCACTCACTCACCCACTCACTCACTCACCCACCCACCCACTCAGCCACTTACCCACTCACTCGCCAACACTGCAGGTCACATCACTTCACTTTCTGCCTCTTCCCTCGCAATCCTCCACTTTGGAATGTCCTCCCACCATCCGTTTTCCCCAAGTTCTTACGATAACCTCGCTCAATCCAAGAAACGTGTGGACTCTTATCTCTTACATCTCTGATCGTGCTGATTGTTGCTGTGCGCTTGGTGTTTTGTGCCGTTAGGCCTGCGTTCAGCAGCTGTGTAAAAAAAATGCATGCATCTGTCAGTGGCATCTCCGAGTTCAAATTGAGCCTTCCAGCTGTGTTATTCTTAAATACAATGACAGAAAGTTACAAAAACAAAAAAATTAACTTGCGATGTGTCAGCCGGTGGGGGGGGGGGGTGTGGAACCTTTCCGTAACTGAAGGCCGAATGGGATAAAATAGTTTTGGTGGGCAACAAAGACAAAGAGACCCCCCCCCGCCGTGTAGCCTTCACAGACTGTTGGGGCAAGTGCTGTGAGCAGCGCCTATGAAGGCCGGCATGGCACATGAGGGGGTGGGTGGCCAGCATCACGCCCGGCCGCCTTTGTCTCCCCAGTGGAGACATGTATACATCGCACCAGGTACTCATTTAAGGCTAGGGGAAGGCCCATGGCCGGTTCAGATAATTGTCACTGGTGTTGGGCGTGAGCGGGAATCGAACTCGGTTCGCCGGTTGGGCAACCACACATTCACACACAGCTCAGCCACTTCTGGTGTGTATGCGTGTGGAACTTATTTCGCACCGTCCATAGCCAACTGTGCTAATCATGCTGTCCACCGCAAGAGGCCCCTTGCTGCAGCGACACCAGTGAAACATGTACCTGAGCGCGCTAAAATTAGAAACAGCGCAATTGTTGCCAGGTTGTATATACCCCCCCCCTCCCTCCCATAATACCCAATTATCGCTGCTAAAATGCTTGCTAGTGACAGACAACATTATTCTTGGTTCCTTCGGTAAAGTCATGTAGAAGGGAAACGAAATAATAAAAATATAAAATTCTCACGACGTTTCGATGATTGCTTGTGTTGCAGTCGAAACGTCGTGAGAATTGTATTGTTTTATATTTTTATTATTTTATTGTTTCCCTTCTGCGTGACTTTACCGAAAGAACCAATAATATGAATTCCTGCAGTCACGAAAGCTTTAAATCAAAATTTAGACAGACAACATTGTTTATGCTGAGCTGGCAGTCGCTCCTTCGGCTAGCCCTGCACACTTTTACACAGCCACGCCCACAGAACCACTATCCCATCCCCCCACTATCCACCCACCACTACTCCTGCCCACTTTTACACAGCCACGCCCACAGAGCCACTCTCGCACCCCCCCACTATCCGACCCCCCACTACTCCTGCTCGCTTTTATACAGCCATGCCCACAGATCCACTAACCCACCCCCCCACTATCCAACCCCCACTTCTCCTGCCCACTATTACACAGCCACGCCCGCAGAAGCACTATCCCACCCCCCACTATCCCCCCCCCCACAATCCCCCCCCACTATCCCACCCCCCCACTACTCCAGCCCACTTTTACACAGGCTCGCCCACAGAACCACTATCCACCACCCCCCCCCCACTACTCCTCAGTCAACTCCGCCCACCAATTATGCACCCCCCACCCCTTTCACCACATTGTGAGTAAAACCCACGAAGCCAGAATATTTTTCACCGAGACAAAATCCCAATGTTCGGGAAATCCTCGGGAAAGACCTTACCGAAGCTGCACG